AATTTTCTAGACAAGCAAAACATATTGCTTTTATTTGAAAAATAATATGCCAATATCAAGTGAGTTTATCCTTAAAACAAGGCAGATAATCTGCCAATGGGGTAAGCAAATTAATCTTGTTTTTTCTTTTGACGTAAGATTATTTTGCTTACCCCATTGGCAGATTATCTGGCTTGTTTTATGGAAAAATTCACTTAATATTGGCATATTATTTCTTAAAACAAGACAATAGGGTTTGCTTGTCTAGAAAATTCTTCTTGATTTAGGAGTTTTTAGATATTTGGACTAGATACAAATCAAAAAATCTAAGGAAGAAAAGCATTTTTTGCAGTGTACAATGTGACTCATGTGACTTGACTGTAATTACATTTTTCTAAAATGCAGTTCTATATATATGATCCACGTCAAGGTTTAAAAATAAAAAAGTAAAATCATTTAAAAGCTTTTATAAGATCTGAAATACTGTAGTGTTTCAATAACTGTAGTAGATGAACAAACAAAATAATTTCTTTGTTGCTTACTGTTTCCTCTGTTGTCTTTGCGATGACCAGATCTGCTTTTCTCTGTTGACAGTCTCGTCTGCTGTCCTCCCAGCTCTTCTTCTCAGATGAAATATAATAGAAACTGGAGCTGTAGTAAATCCACTTAAAGTTGTCAGCACGCTGATCTGTTTATAACAAGAGTTTAAAAATGAATTTAAATAAGTCAATCTCCATAGTCATGTCAGGATGAGCTGATAAAACATCAAAATAGTCCACACGACTATAATCATTTAACATCTCATGATGTAAAAAGATGCATTTTTACATCATGAACTCAATTCTCCCATGGATTTTCAAATATTACTTTCATCCTCCCAGATGCCTTGTTTTTTATTCCTTGTTCCTTATGCCTGTGCTCTCTGCTCAGCTTGTTTGTCCACAAAGTTAGCCTCATTTGTTGCGCTAGTTATTGGTTTTTCACCACCCCCATGGCTTTTTTTACCATGGATTCAACAACCCTTTTAAACTGACCATGGTGGTTTATGAGGGACATTAAGTGAGTTCCTAAATTATGACCCGACAAAATGTTGATCCCCTTCAGGACACCACTCCATTTTGTTTGCCACACCAGTTATAAGGTCCAGCACTCCATAGTCTCGCTCCATCATAACTACCGTGGGCATGGTCACTGCCCCAGGTCATCACCCTAGGCTAATATATCAGAGACTCATAGCCTTGCCCATTCAAGGCCACAGTTCCTGAGCCTCCACCTGCCATGGTCACAGTACCATAGCACTCTCGCATCATAACTTCTGCTCATGAACCATGCCTCACCATGATCACAAACCCAAAAGCTTGCCCTGTTTGTGGCCACCATCTCAGGTTGTCGACCAACCACAACTGTTGTACTTAAATCTCATCCTTTCATGCGAGCTGTCCTGAGTTGCATCGGCTTCCCTTGCTTCTACTTTCTGCCCTGCCTCAGTGAACGTCCCCCACATAGACCTGGTCCCTAATCAATTGTTTGCTTTTGCTCTACTTCTCTTCTTGACTCTTTATATTGGAGGATCTGGAAGCTGCTGCTTTCTGTGGTTCAAAGTTTCATTAGTGCAGTAACTTCTAGCTATTTCTACACTGTAAAAATGTAAAAGTTGAAATTACTTTGTTTTTTGTTGGTTTGGCAAAAATCTGTACAAATGTCTGTACTACTACATTTAACACATTTACTTGACCCTAATAAAAACAATTCTCTATTAAGTTAAAAAGATGAGCTTTGTGAGCAAAACTGTTCAGAAAGACTTTTAATGTGAATTTTCTTCTCACATTTTCCTAGTTCACTCTACAAAAAGAAACGCTTAGCGCAGATGGACTGTTTATTTGTCTTTAACTATTTAACTGGCATATACTGTATATGGAAGGTTTTTCCTACCAAAATGAAAACCCAAATGCCCAAAAATATCAAACAAAAAAAATCAAACTCTCAAAACAACTACCCAAATGATAAATCAAACAATCAAATAATGTGTCAGCATTCATTCTCAAAACAGAAATCACATGTATTTGATATTTAATTTTCATGAACGACTCTTGTAATAATTAAATGACAAATCAAATGCTCAAACTATAATTCAAAGGGAGGAACCGGTTTCTGATCTCCTGATTACACACACACAGCTGAAAGCTCATGATGGACTATATACTAGGACTATAAAGACACCTCATTCACACAGACCTCTTTTGCCGAGTCTTGTTTTACCCTGTGAAGCATTACAAAGCATTTTTCCCTGTTTGTCCTGCCATGTTTTGATACTTGTCTTTTTTACCATTATTCCTGTTGTACCTTCTGCCCTTTTTCTAATTCTGTATCTAATAAATGTTTTGTTTAACATTTGTCTGTTTTTGTTGTTGTTGTTGTTGTTCTGATACCTACAGTAGTATCAGTATTTCCAAAAGATTTATTTTGTTCCCTGTTGCTGTTATCTTCAGATATTTTTGGTCTGTGCAACTGATGTTTTCAAACATTGAGTGCACGAGAAAAAGCGAAAGGAAATAAGGATTGTGTATTTTTTGTTCACTCATCTTCAGGTATTCCAGTTCTGCAGACAAATAATGTTCAGTTGGCACAACTTAAAAAGTTTTGTTACAGAGTAGTTCACCAGAAAACTAATAATCTTATGTTAATCCAAATAAATATTTTTTTGTATTACTGACAAATAATTTTTTGATTTCAAAAGTTGAGAGAACAAGAAAAAGCATTTTGTTGTACTGGCTTAAATTTTTTACAGTGTATGAACAATGAAATAATTTCTCAGGGGTGAAACGGCCTTTAAATTATGATGATGTGTGGAAATAAAAAGAGTTGTAGACTGTTGAAGACAAAGAAGTATAGTCAAGACATACTGGGGATGATTAAAGGGAACTTTACCCTGTTCATGAAGCCATTGACGTAGCTGGTTCTGCTCATTCCCTATCTTGTCTTTTTCTTTGATCAGGTCTTTGTTGAGTTTTGATATCTGCTCTTTTTCTTTGGTCAGGTCATCGTTGAGTTTTGATATCTGCTCTTTTTTTTTGGTCAGGTCATCGTTGAGTTTTGATATCTGCTCTTTTTCTTTGGTCAGGTTTTTGTAGAGTTTTGATAACTTCTCTATTTCTTCAGTCAAGTCATTGTTGCGATTCAGTATCTCTTCTCGTTCTTCATTGAGTTCAGTGATGTGTTTTAGTAAGTGTTTTCTCTGGATGCTAAAATACACACAGAGGACTATTAAAGCAGTCAGCAGAAGAACACACAGCAAACCCAAACAGACTTCAACTGCTCTCTGCTTTCTGCTCTTCACTGAGACGCTTCCTGAGGATGAAAAACACGAGAATACATTTCAACACCTCACATTTATGATTGTTATAATTTATGATTGTTATATAATAAATAAAGTACCTGTGAGTCGAAGTGGCTGTTGATTCTCTCTACATGTCCTCAGCTCAAGACTTCCTTCATGGTCTACATTTTGATAAATAGCCTCGGGGATCTCGGAGTCGGTCATTATGAACATTTTTTTTTTAGTCTGCATTGGTCTTCTCTTCTCTTCTCTTCTCTTCTCTTCTCTTCTCTTCTCTTCTCTTCTCTTCTCTTCTCTTCTCTTCTCTTCTCTTCAGTTCTATGTTCTTAACATACAAACTTCTGTAAAAACTTTTCACACCAGCTAACCACTTTTCACAAACACTTTACCAAGCCGCATTAAAAGAAGAAAAAATAATCTAGTCTACATTTCCCCCCAGCTTTAACTGGTTCCCTAATCGTGTTTTTCTACTAAACATGACATTGTTTATTGCTAATATTGTTTACCCAACAAATTGACAATTAGATTAAGCTCCTCTATTGTAAGTCACTTTATAAAAGTTCTACATGACTAAATGTAAATAACTACATATTAATTAACAAGATTTAAAGCTCATGATCACATGACAAAGACGTGTGTGCATTTTTTGACTTTGTCTTTTAGTTTGCTGTTACTTCCTCATGTTTTCATGTTATTTGTGTTGGCTACCTTGTATGATCATTGGCTCATCAGATTCCTTGTCCATACATTTAATTATTTATTGGACACTTGAAGAGTTCAGATGCTAAGGTGACTAATTTCAGATAAGCAGAGTCTAAACCTTTCATCTAAAATGCAATAGTATCTGGATCCAGCTTTTATGATTCAAGCTGAGATTGCATGGCTCAGAGATGCAATGTCAGACACAATGCACTCAACTGAGCTAGTGATGTCACTGTGAGGGGTAGGGTTAGGGGTGGGGTTAGGTGAGCACATTAACAACAAAAACAATGGATGCAGCTCAGATTGCATCTACACGCAGTCTGTAGCCAGACCCATCTCCTAAAATAAGCATTTTTCTCAGTGTAGGTTCAGTAATTTCACTTTTATAGTGATTAATATGTTTTTTTTCATTGCCTTTAAAGTGTAATAACTGAACAAATAAAGGAGGCTGACAGAACAGTCAATAAGTTTATAAGAAAAATCCTGACTCTTCACTTTCATCCAAAACAGGGAATAAATGAGGCAACACAGTGGTTCAGTGGTTAGCACTGTTGTCTCACAGCAGGAAGGTTGCTAGTTTGAGTCCCAGCTGGGCCAGTTGGCATTTCTTTGTAAAGTTTGCATGTTTGCATTTTCTCCAGGTGGTCTGGTTTCCCCTACTGCCCAAAGACATGCGGTATAGGTGTGTGTGTAGGTAGGTGTGTTTGGGGTAACATATGGGTAATTGGTGGCAACTTCTGATAAATCAGGGACAATCAGGCAAAGCTTTCTCAATGTTATTTGTGTCAAACAATTTTTTATTTTATTTATTTATTTATTTATTTGATGAAATGAACACTGCTCAGAACTCCCTGCGCCAATACACTGTTCCCATTGTTGTTCTGTCCCCACGGGTTCTGTCCCCACTATTTGCAGGAGTGAGATGGTGTGTGACAACAAGTAGGGGATTCATATTTGGTTTTAGACCATTGAAAAAGGGTACAATGCAAAAACAACTGATGGTATAATTTATTAAGAATAAAAAGGTTACCAATAATGACAATCTAAAATAATATCATAATATATTTAACTCTTACAAAATTCAAGGCATGTAAACATTTTTGTTAAAATATTACAGTCACTGCAGGTGTCCTCAATGTTGCTGTTTTGATAGTAAAAACAGACATTTCAACATGGTTTGTTCTTCTGCTAAAATAATAGAATTAGATGGAAATCTGAATATCTCTGTTAATGAACCATACAGTACCATAAAAATAAAGATACCAAACGGAAAGTTTAAGAACTAAAATTTAAAAGAATTTTGAGATATATGGGATCTTGTTGAGATACAGGCATGCAAACAGGGAACACCCAACACTACATACAGCAACAGCACACAGCAAACGCAGTATACATACATTACATTTTGCACTTTAGCTTTCAGGAAAATGGAAATTGTATAGCAAAATCAATATGAGATTTTTTTACAGAATTGATGCAGAATTATCCAAAACCATACAGAGTAACAAAACATTATTACAAGAAAAGAAAAAAATAAGGTTTCAAAAAGTAATGCTGTCAAAAATCCTTCATTCAGTAGGTTTACTGTATTTTTTATTCCAGTAATGACTGATTAATAATAATGAGTCTTCTCGCAGATCCATCCATTGTTGGAATTACAGGCTGAGGTATAATAGCCTCCTGCAGCCACTACAGCACAGTTAGAGCTGTCAGTCTTGGACCTAAAACATTCAATTATATTTAGGATTTGGATTTTAAATATTTTTAGGAAACTTAAAAACTAAAGATCTATTCAGTTTAGTGATCACTCACCCATTAGTCAATACAGTGCCATCAAGCCATTTCCACACATCTGTCTTTGTCAGACCAATCCAGAAATTCCTGTCAACAACTTTCTGGAAAAACGTCTGTAAGAATAAAACATATAGGCCAATGATACTTCATGTCAGTGTGTTACAAGCTAAATTGATCTTAAACACAAAATCGTTTTATTGTCACTCACTTTCTCCTCTGGGCTCTTTATGATGGCCAGATCTGCTCGTCTCTGCTGACAGTCTTGTCTGCTGTCACTCCAGCTCTTCATCTCAGATGAAATAAAATACAAACTGTTGTTGTAGCAAATCCATCTAAACTTATCAGCAGGCAGATCTGTCAATATAAGCAATTTAGAAACAGTTAAACAGTCAAGTCTGATTAAAACAGTCAGAAATAACCCATGACTCCAGTCAAGGCCAGCAAGCAACTTAAAAGAAGTCTAATAGACATTCACACAGATGTCTTTGCTAAGACAAGGCTAAATTGGGTCTGTCAGTGAAAGACGTTTAACAATAGACTAGTCATAAAACCGACAGCTAATGAATGACTAAACATGTCTGTTTGTTTGTTTGTTTGTTTGTTTGTTTGTTTGTTTGATTGATTCTTTATATGAATTCTTGATTTTTATTGGAGGAAGCATTATCACAGGCTTAATTAGCTGTATGGTAACCGTTTAATTACTTTAAAATTAAAAGCAACCATTTAAAAAACATGTACCTTGTTCATATGGCCACATTTTCCACTTGTCATTCCGTAACTGGTCTCTTTCTTTAGTCAGGTCATTGTTGTGGTTCAGTAACCGCTCTCTTTCTCCTTTGAGGTTAGTGATATTAGTAAAGATCTGCTCTCTTTCTTCAGACAGGTCATTGTTGTATTTCAGTAACTGCTCTCTTTCTTCAGTCAGAACCTTGTTGTCATTCAGCAGCTGCTCTTGTTCTTCATTAAGTTTAGTGATGTGTGTTAGTAAGTGTTTTCTCTGGATGCTAAAACACACACAGATCACTATTACAGCCGTCAGCAGAAGAGCACACAACAAACCCAAACACTCTTCCACTGCTCTCTGCTTTCTGTTCCTTCTTGAGACGCTTCCTGAGGGTGAAAAACACAAGATGTTGACTTTTTATTACCTCTTATGATAGTAGAAAAAAAAAAAAATCACGTACGTACCTGTGAGTTGAGGTGGCTGGTGTTTTTCTCTATGTGTCTTCAGATCTACACATCCTTCAGTATCTTTAGTATTAATATTTTGATAAATAGCCTCGGGTATCTCTGACTTGGTCATTGTGATGTTGAGTAAATGGTGGTTTTAGGCTGCACTGCTCTTCTTTTCAGTTCCTTCAAGCTTTCACTTCTAAAAAAACGTTCACAAACACTTTCCGCAAGCACTTAACCACTCAGAACAAGAAAAAAAAAAAGAATTGTCGGCATGTCTCCTTTGCTCTAGCTGGTTCCTTAATCTAGCTTTTCTAATAAACAAGCATTGCTTATTGCTAATATTGTTCACACTTATGAAACAGTAAATTGTTTGCGCCCCACTAATATGTCACTTTAAAAATTTCAAATGTAAATAACTACATTGTTAAAAAGTTAAAGCTTGCATGATCATATAACAAAAATGTGTGACTTTCGTTTGACTTTGGTTCTGGTTCTTTGAGTTTGTTATGTCTTCCTTTTATCGGTAAGCCTGTAGGGGCATTGGCACGTAATGACAGTTTAGATCATCAGATTCATTGTCCTACTGTGGCAGTTATGTGCACCTTGACACTACACTATATTTACATTTAATCATTTAGACTCAAGGACACTTGAGTTCAAATGCAAAAGCCTCTGTGGCATCTGAAATCTTCTACAAATAGCATTTCCTCAGTGTAGGTTATGTGGGTTCACATTAATAGCAATGAACAAGTTATTTTCAATGTCTTTAAAGCAAAGTAACTGAACATAAAAATAAAAGGTTGAGAAAATGCTAATCTTATAAGAAAAATGCAGACCTTTCACTTTTATACAAATTAATTTAAAAATGAGGAGAACCACAGGATCTATTAGATCAACAAGGAAGAAATACATCAATACATTTCCCAGCTAATCTCAAAGTTTCTTTTAAAAATTAAGAGTAAAATAAATGTTTCTTGCATTAATGGGTCAGCTGCTGACTAAAAAGATCTGTTAACTGTTTTTAGGAAATAGTCATTTGAAATTATTTTGTGCCTTTTTGGAATACACAACCAAGAGATCTTGACTTGCAGAACACAAGTTTCTAAAAGTCACAAAAGTCTGAAGTAGTAGATTTAGGTAACTGAATGCAGAACCAGTGATTATTTTATACATCCCTGAACATAAATGCCTTGAATGTGATGCAAGCAGCAATTTTAAAGAGCCCATATTATGGGTTTTTGAAAATTCCCCTCTATGTAGTGTGTAACACAGCTCTAAGTGAAGTGAAGTATCCAGCTAAGGCTTAAATCTGTAAGAGTACAGTGTTTAAAACGGTGGATTCATCTAAAAAAAAGAGTCGACTCATAGTGCTTCAAACGAGTCGCCTTGATACCGAGTCATTAGGTGTTTCGCCATGACGTACGAACGAAACCAAGTTATTCACGTGCACGCGCAAACCCGGGAGATTTGAAACCTGAGGCCCCGCCCTCTGACATAGAAACCCAGACACACACACCCACAAACACACACAAACATGCCGGTCGATTGAAGTCACACTGCAGATGGATATTATCGAGTCTCTACCCAAAGATGAAACCTCAGCATTATAACCAAGCAGTTGGAAACTACTGGAAACTTCTGCAAACTACATGCTACAAAGAATACTTCATCAGCGTTTGTTAAAGGAAGGATCAGTAAAGAGTAGGGTTGGGCATCTAAGCTATAATGCCGATCCGATACGCATCTCGATGCAAAAAATACGATCCGATATATTAGCGATACATTTGTGACATATTGCGATGCAACACGATACGATTCACACCCATATCACGATACGATGCGATATTTCAGCACTAACTAATTAGATCAAGTTTATGAGATGATGTGAAAGAGGATGCTGTGCCATTGAATGAGTTTGATTATTTATAAACCAAGCAAAACCAAGACTTTTTTTTACAAACTGGCTCTTCTCTCAGAGCCAGAGTGTCAGTTTACAGTAGAGGGCCATTTTAGAACATATAGCACATATTATTTAAGTATTTTCAAAATAAACAGAATGTATAAGTGCAATATATATTTAAAAATATGTATATATTTGCACTCTTTTAACATAAATAAATTTAGCATTGCACAACAAGAATTGTGATTTAACTTTTCATATATGAAAACAAGTTTTACAAAGATATATTTTGCCACTGATTATTCAAAACTTAAGGTCGTGAACTAGCAGTGTTATGCTGCTTTGAAACATCACTGTCACTGTAAACAACAGGCTAATAAAAATATAACAAACCAGCAATCTTCTTGCTGTGAGGTGGTCAAACTACCCACTGTGCCACCGTGACACCCAATTATTTTTATCATTATTATTATTAATATTATTATTATTATAATTAAATAAAAATTAACAGGAGGAGGTGTTTAAAACCTTCGTTCTCCGTGACACTAGGCTGAATATCTTTGCAGATGAACAATGCAATAGCATTCGTTATTGGCGTAGAGCGAGAAGAACTGTTACGCATGGAAAAAAAACTTGCAATGCTTTTCTCACCACTTTTGGAGCTGGTTGAAGCAGTGCGAAAGCCGGGGATGCAGAAACACTGGAAGATGCTTTCACAACAACACCGTGGCGCCGCTTCAAGTGAGATTTCAGATTAGTCATACTGCCCGCGTATTTTACAGATGCGCGGCACATTTTGCAAATTGCATCTGTCCTGTCATGTCTTCCATCCTTAAATCCATAATGTTGCTTGCCATACTTTAGATTTAAAACTCAGTGGGGAATAAAATGTTTGTTTTGCTTCTCGCGCTTTCTGAGGGCGCTCCACTAGCTTCATCCGCACACCTGATACACTGAGTTGTAGTGTGTGCACATCCGCAAATCCGTTGCTAAGGCTTACTTTATGTAGGTCGATTAAATTATGCGCCAAAAACAGGTTGACAACACTTGTTAATAAATAAAAAATACATTCTATATTAAAAATATAAGCTGTATCTCGGAAAAATCGATGCATCTCGCAAAAACCGATGCATCTCGATTTGCTTCCAAAATTTCATTCATCCTCTGCTGCTCAACCGATGCACTCGCATCGTGCACGCGCATGACCGCGTATCGATACATATCGGTTAATCTTCCCATCCCTAGTAAAGAGTAACTTACTGATGGACGTCAGGATGGGTTTCTTCCTCCATTTCTCAAGTGTAATTACGTGCGATTAAAGTTGTTGCCTCGTTGACTCTAGCTTGCAAATGTATTTAGTTGTGATTTGTTACTTGTAACCGCGTGTACTGTATCAGGTTAACTGGCTATATTCTCATATCGCGTGCAAAGTCACGTTAAAAACGCGGCGCGTGCTGCTTTGTTTACGGAGCTCCGTGGACGAGGGTAGTGTGTGCGTGCGTGTGCGTGTGCGCGCGCTGTCGTCCAGAGGTATGTGTGTGTGTTTGTGTGTGTGCGCGCACGTTGTCGTCCGGAGGTGTGTGTGTGTTTTTGTGTGTGTGTGTGTGTGCGCGCGTGCAAGCGTGCAAGGACGAGGGCAATATGTGTGTTTGTGTGTGTGTGTGTGTCTGTGAAAAGAGCAGAGTGAGAAGCTAGGAGATCTCCTCAACTGTTTTTGGAGTTTTTGCTCAATAAAATAGTTAGTCGTCTGTATTATCAAGTCCATAGTCTGTATTTAAATTGACCCACTGGCAGCTAAAATCCACACCTACACTATCGAGCATGTATGAACTGTGATTACTTTTATATTGCTGATTAGCTGTTGGGCATTTCACTCTCTGACTGAAGGCAGTCGACCAATCGCAACAGACTGTCATTGGTCCAATCAGCGCAGATTATCTTCGCGCTAAAGAGGGGTTTGGGAACAAATTAATCACTAGACGATGCATACGGGAGTCGCTGGAATAATTAGGTAAAAATAAATGCAGATTATAAGACCATGAAAGTGTTTTTTGACCTTGCATGCATATTAGACTGTTGTTGGAGACCCTTACAACCAAGATATGACCCTATTTCATGTATAATATGGGCTCTTTAAGTCAGCGTTGATTAAAAAAAGATGTGTGTCTGGATGTGTGCTTTCTTTGGCTCATTAAAAACATTCTCGCTCAGGTGCAGAGGTTTGATTTACCAGGAGAGCAATAGTCCAGCCTGGACAAACAAAACTTAGTGTAACATGCCCCAATGAGAAGGGTTTTATCTCCCTAAAGTTCTATAAAGCAAATCTGCAAGAGAGGGTGGCTCTATCAATGTATTCTGTATAAACCACTTGGTTCCTGGCTCGGTTTCTGGTTCCTGGAAAGTGTTATTGTTGGTGTGCCTAGCTTGATGAAGAACTAGCTGAATACACAGTTCAGCTTAGCCAGGTTGAGTTGAGAATATGGTTTTTAATTATTACTTGTCCGTGACATGTTAAAATGTTATCAGTGACCATAAGATCACAAGGCCAGAATAACGGTAGAGTTGAGTGCTATTAGCATAGTAGCGATATGGCACACTCTGAATAGCAGGAAAAGTGTCATAAAGATTGAGAAGAGAAATGAGTCTACTGAGTCCTGAGGCAGTAAGTAAGATGAGACAACTTTGAGATTTTATCTACCTAAAAGCCAGGACACCAAGTTGATGGTTGGCCATTGGGCTTTGTCAGTCAGCATCAGTCCGGCTAGTTAAATGAATGTTTCACGTGTTTCCATATTTCACTATATGACAGTGTATGCGACTACATGGAAGTATATGTGAAAAATAAAGGCCTTGATTGATTGATTCCAGCAAGATTACTGACAAATAACTCCAAATTACTCCAAATAACTCTCTTCAGGTTAAAGTCAGATCGAGTTGGTGTATTTTGTAAGTCGCTTTGGATAAAAGCGTCTGCTAAATGACTAAATGTAAATGTAAAATGTGTAATTGAGTATGTAGAATCATTATCATCCGTCAATTTTGAAGGCTGTTCGATTAACTCTCAGAGCTTTAACAACTGACAAAAGAGTTGAGTCAGTTGAATCAGTGTTGTTAAGCCAGACGCTTATTGTCCAGGTTCCTCTTTGTGGAAATATCAAATTAAGTTATTGTAATATATTTAACATGTTTGTTCTCTTACTAAGGGTGGCTCAATGGTTAGCATTGTCACCTCACAGCAAGAAGGCCTCTCAAGTCCCAGCTGGGTCAGTTGGCATTTCTGTGTGGAGTTTGTGTATTCTCAATGTGTTCGCGTGGGTTACCTCCTAGTGCTCTGGTTCCCCCACAGTCCAAAGACATGTGCTACTGGTGAATTCAATGAACCTGTCCGTAGTGTATGAGGGTGTGTGAATGTGAGAGTGCATGGGTGTTCCCCAGCACTGGGTTGCGGCTGGAAGAGCATCCGCTGCATTAAAACATATGCCGGAATAGTTGGCAGTTCATTCTACTGTGGCAACCCCTGATAAATAAGGGACTAAGCTGAAGGTTAAAAGAATGAATGAATGTTCTTTAAATATCTGATGATGATTTCTACGCCTTCGTGTGCTTTCACCCACTGGAGGGGGTAGGCGGGTCTGTGACCCGCGCTCTTTAGCAGCAGGACCAGATGGCTGCCCGCCCTCATCAGACTGTATCCACATCCCCTGTTGCAAAGTTATGTCTATGTGTTTTTGGGCTTGACTGCTGTCGCTTTTTTTTTTGTCCCTGACCTCACACTGCTCTGATTCAAGAGCAAAGTGAGAGTGCGTTTTTTTCTTCTCCCTCTCCTGAAATGTATCTTACTTCCTTTTTCTAAATGCTACCTCCTGTTGACATGTCTTCCCTGAAATGTGTTGTTTGTTAATGGTCAGGGGGTCCAATTTCACTATATGACAGTATATGTGACTACATGGAAGTATATGTGAAAAATAAAGGCCTTTGATTGATTGATTCCAGCAATATTACTGACATAACTCCAAATTACTCCAAATTTAACCTCAAATGTAGAAACAAACTGAAAATAACGTTTAGATCAAGAATGAGTGGTCATTTTACAAAGAAAGTTCACTCCAAAAGTTAAAAATAAAAAATCTAATTTATTCACCATACTTGTTTCAAACCTGTAGGTGTTTCTTCTGTTGAACACAGGATTATGATTATTTTTTTAAATAAATAAATAAACATTTTAATAATTAAAACTTTTAGAGACCAGTGAACTTTTCCAGTAGCACTTACATCTGTTGTAAAGGAACATCAGTCAGCTGAACCACACTGCAATGACTTATTTTGCTACTCTGTTTTTCTACTTGGGTTTTCTGGTTGACACTTTCTGCCCACAAACCCAATGAGATGGTTTTACCACTGTATTTCTGTATACACATTCAAATCCTGCAGTGTGCTGTTCAGTGAAACAACATTCATATTAAAAGCTATGAAAATGCTAAAAAAAAAAAAAAAATCCAGCCAATGCAGTCAAATATAAGCTACACATTATAAAAATGTCTAATATGTTTTATTAATTGTCATAAGATATTCTAAAGTTAAACATTACCACACCAAAATAATCTAAAAACCAATACTTTTTAATAGTAGAAGTTTAAGTGAAGTTTAATTTTAAACTAATTTCGAGAGGAGCATGTGCTCATGATTGACCCAGCTGGTCCACATTAGCTAATTATGATCCTCCAATCAAAGGATCCCGAATCACTATATATATATCCTCATTTCCTTTCTACAACTATCTTCGTCTGGAAGAAACCCTCCTCCTCCTTTATCCAGAATGGGCAGCACGGTGGCCCAGTAACTAGCACTGTTGCCTCACAGCAAGAATACCAATGGTGTTGGGTCCTCGCTGAGCCATCTGGTATTTCTGTGCGGAGTTTGCATGTTCTCCCCGTGTTCACGTGGGTTTCCCCCGGGTTCCCCGGTTTCCTCCCACCATCCAAATGTGCTCTATATTATAGATAAAACAAGCCTAAACCTTTTTTTATAATTTCTTACTCTCAGGAAGTTCGCCTTGGCCTCAGCAGCATGGGAGTTTGAGATAGACCTGAGCTCAATCTCCACTCGCCCTGCAAAAGGGGGGGAGCCCTGGGCTCGAGGATCTCTTGAGCTCAGGGCTCTCACCCGGGACAGCATGCCAAACAAGCTATGTATAAATCATGAGCTAAGTGTGAACTCTTGAAATCACCAAACTATTTTGATTACCCTATTAAGTCAGCCAATTTACAAATTACACAAACTATCAAGTAAATACAGTCGTAGGTTTAAAATTCAGATTTATAAACAAATAATGTAAAATATGTTAAATAATTCTGGCTAATTTCAAATAATATCCATGACGCAAAAAAAAAAAAAAAAAGTCAGACACAATCACCCAAGTCACATTTTAGTATAAATACTATATTTTTATTTAAATATTGTACAACTTGGAAAACATATTTACAGGTACTTTTCTTGCATTGTTACACTGTACACACACACAAAAAGTGTAGTTCTCATTCACACATTTGTCTGCTTCAGATACTGAGAGACTCATCTTGACTGCAGAAGCACCATTTAAAACGATGAAGGAAAGACAGAGTTGAGGACACGGCTTTAAGCGACACCCAGACCGAACACGCAAGCTTTGCCACACAAAGGCCTCTGGATGAGACAAAATGAGATTTTAAGGCTTATAAGGTAATGTCGATTTATAATGGAGTTTTCCCAGGTTCACTCACAGGAAAACACAAACACGCAGATCTGATTTGCATTCAGTCATCATCAGCCCGGCTCAGAGTGGCAGCCGTCCTGTGTTTTTGGAATGATGTACTATAATTCATAAAAGCACATCTGATTGTTTTGGATGGGCCATTACAAAAAAAGACTTTGGAAAATGTGTTGTGCGTGTAAAAGACAAAGTGGCAAAACTTCAGACATGAAAAGAGGTTCAGTCTTAGCATGCAATGACACTCACTGAAGGCGAAATGTGCAGATAATGAACCACCAGTGACGTCAAACAGAACTGCACAAATGTTTTCCAAGCAGACACTTTGGCTTTGTTTACACTGCTTCAAACGCAAATATCTCAGACCATTTATAAACAAGTAAACCAATCTGTTTAAACAGTCAATATCTGGTGTCCCATTGGTGGCAATAGGAAAATCAGAAATCAACTTCACAATATTGCAAAATAAGTTTAATGTACTTTGTGCTGTATTAAGATGATGTGAGTTAATCAGATCTGATTTCAAACCACCATAGATGTTGTTTTATTTTCTATTATTTATTTATTTATTTGGCTACAGATCTGGAAAATATCATGCAGTTTGTGTTGCTAATATACTTTCTACTTTGAACGGTACATTACTTGCATTCACACTAAGACACTATTGTTATTATGGATCCAGATAGTATGTCACAATTTATAATGTACTTTTCCTAAAAAAGATTAACCAGACTGAATTACCATGGGTGTTTTTTGGTTTGCGTTGTTTGGCATTAATACATTTTTAGACAAAGATTCAGACATCAGTGGCAATTTGTATGATCCTACATATGCGTCATTTATGCAAGGTTACATATATTCAGTTCACACCAAGACCCCATACAAAATATAATACAACAATAACTGTTAATTAATTTCAAACTACCGGGATGTTTCCTTTTACTTTAGATCCTGAAAATTCTGAAAATAGGGTCATATCAATTCGTATGCAGTTACACAACCGATGGAAAAAATATACACTACCTGTCAAAAATTTTGGGTAAGTTTTTTTTTTTTTTTTATCATTAAAAATTAATTTCTATTTTATTTAATAATAAAAAAAATTTATCAAGGCTGAAATTATTAAATGTAAAAAGAAATGTTAAATTGTTGAATTATTATTAAATATTTATTTATTACTTATTGTATATAATTACATTGTAATTGTATTTAATTATTATAATAATTAATAAAGTCATTTCTGAAGGTTTATGTGATTCTAAAGACTGAAAATTCATCTTTAAAATCACTGAAATAAATGATTAAATTAAATTTTAACAACCTTTGAACTGTTATTTTATAGTGCAATAACATTTCACAAGTTGTACTGTATTTCTGATGAAATAAATGCAGTCTTGGTAAAAAAGATAAGCTTATTTTAAAACATTTAAAAACCTTACTGACCTCAAACTTGACTGGTAGTGTAAATATTAGTGCATTTCAATCATTCCATTTAAAAATTTGTTTAATAAATTTGTGTTTGTTTCTAATTTTTACAATTTTGCATGTGTGAACAAAGCCAAACACCCATTTAAACAGACTGCAATTCTCTCTGCTGCCTCTAGAGGTGCCACAACTACACACATCATCCTTGGCTAAAATGAAAAGCTGGCTAAGACATCTTCAACCTAAATCACATCTTTTTTTAGTTGTCAAGTACACCGTTAATCTTAATAACCGTAACCTATTAGTGGTGTTTAGTTCAATTCTGTCTCATTTCTCAAGAAACAAAAGCACACATCATACGTAACAGCGTTTCTGTCAGAAATTTTAAACACATTGTACAACTCGATTGCAGTCTTTTCAGTGATGGGGTGAGAATACCTTGGTTGTATGGCTTTTCTGCTTTGGTTTTCTTAAATGGATCAAGACATTGACTTCAACAGGACCACAATCTACAAGACAGCATATATGAGACCACAGTTCAGGTCTAATTGTTTTGCAGGCACAACAAAGGCCTTAAATATAGTCCTCACTATCTGTAGGTGAAGAGTTAGAATTATTTGTAGGCGGGGGAGGGAAGGATGGCTCACAGAACATTAAAATTCAGGTTTGGTTAAGCCGCCTTTTCACTGCACATGACAAACCGGAAGTCATTCATTTGCAATGGAGAGTACTCCGGGAGCTGCGTAGAGTTATTATTATCTTTGTATGCGGAAAATTCTGATCTGATTTGAGCTGTGGATATGTTGAAATGTGAATTTCTGCAACTTGACCGTATGCGATCGGCTGACCGGATGTGATGTATTCCAGTGTTGTCCAAGCAGGTCCGTGCATTCGATATAAGAATTTTTTTTTCTGTTATTTTTGAATCGGAAAAACGTTTATACATTAAAACATTTCTATTCATAAATGAGTAATAAAAAAAAAATATATATATATATATATATATATATATATATATATATATATATATATATATATTTTTTTTTTTTATATATATATATATAAATATATATATTTTTATATATATATTGTTTTATTTATTTTTATTTTTTTTAAATGTCGTCTCCATATACCCTCCAAAATTTTTAGCAGTCTATGAGTTTCTAGTATTCATTAAATCATTCATTCCACCATGGACAATGGACGGACAATAATGGCTCTAGCTTTTGCACTTCTTTATTTCAGACACCGTGAGAATGAGCTTTCCTCCCATGGTGCATGACAAAACAGAAAACTCTGTGCGACTGCCACAAGTGGGCATATTCTGGCAGTCATGTCCGAATGTCGTGTGCAGTAGAAAGGAGGCTTTAGACAGGTTATTGAATGGCAGCCTAAAATATCATTTATGGGACAGAAATAGGCAATTAACCAATCAAATAGATGAGTGAGGTTTGCCATCAAGGGCATGCATATATAACAAACAAACAAAAAACAATCAAACAAATAGAGATAATTCAAATATTGCATTGCTTTTCCATTATAAAAAAAGTTGACAAAACATTGTGTGTAATTTCTGCTTTTCATACAGGCAAATATGTCCCATTACTAACGAAAGACTGCAAGTCGATCACACTTAACGGTCTGCTTAAACTGTTGCCGTTTTGTGAAATAAAATCGCCACCAGCTCACCCATTTTTATTGTACACGTAAAAACATTCATATAAATAATGTAGTCACACATTTATAATTTACAAAATTAAAGCAGCACATGAACGTGAAAAAGTTCTCCAGAACCAATCTAGAGTGATAGAGAAAAACAAAAAAAAGATAGCCTTCAGTCAATTAAAAAAATAACCCAAGCCTTGATAGGGAGCGCAGAAGACGCCAAAAGGCCTCACTGTCGACCAACGTTTCCCATACTTCTACATTCTGGTTAATCTAACGGCAATCCAAGTAAATATATATAAAAATAAAACATTTTTTTATATACCTGACCTTTCAATTCATAAAAAGCATTGCCAGATGCTAGCCATTTGTGCGTGTCGACTTCTAAACTCAAAAGGTGAAGTCATGTAAATGTACATCCAAACACGCATTCACAGTCAACATCCACCATCCCCGTGAGTGAGCAAATCTGTGACATTCTCTGTGTGGTTTCATTTGTATCTTTCATAAACAAACACTAGCTGTGCATTATAGGCCATCTCCTTCTCTCTGAACTTGCAATCCATTATCCGAGACCTCTCAAAGTGGCTGTATAACTCAAAGTAAATATGCTGATTGAACACAACTAGCCAGCACATCCTAAAGCACTTGCATTTACAAACAGGTTAAAATCTCTCCAGGCCACCCCCTTTAAATCAGGAAGGCCACTGTCCTGCAGAGTTTAGCTACAACTATAGCCCTTTGCCATCAAAGCAGTTTTAAAGCTGGACCAGAAGCAGAGCCTAGGTCCAAATCGGTTACATTCGACACCCAAAAGCACCAGCTCTGAACTAGAAAAAGTTGTTGAGGAGTAGCACCAAAACATTTCTGGGTAGAAGAAAGAACTGCTCGTATCAGGCTGGAGTGTTACTGTGACCAACAAGGGTCATTTTGACTGCCACTTCTGAAATAGAAGCCAAACACAATGCTAAACATGTTATTCTCACCTATAATGCGTGTCAATAAAATGATAGCGAACTCCAAAAACATGTTATTCTTGCTTGTAATCTCAGTTTATAAAAATGACAGCAAACATGATGGATTCGCTGTGTTTGGATGCCATTGTTGTTTAGCAAAGGGCATTAACATTAATAATGCAACAGCTGCCTTTGTAGATGATGTGTTTGTATTTGACGCTTCTGCATTTGCGTTGCTGGGAAAGATGAGACCTATTTATAGTCACATCAGAACTGGCTTTGTAGTGGCTCTCTAGTCTGGTAGCAGACTGGTCCTTAGAATAGCATCTCTGAACCAGAACTTGGCTCACTCTGGTAGAATAAGGGCCTTCTAGAGGTTTTCTCAGGTCCTAAGATCTGTCCCTGGCCCAAATTGACTCAAATCGCTTTTTTTCAAAGCCCAAAATGCAATTTTGGAAGAGCCAACTCACTAACCAAGTAAACCCAATCAGAATAAACTGGACCAAAGTCCAACTGGACAGCCTTTATTTTCAAACCAAATGTTAACTCCATTGTTGTGAGCACAACCTGCAGCCGCATAGTAATTCTGGTGTCCTGATGACCGATGTGGCCACTTCATGACTTATTATTAATTTATAGTGCTGCCTAGTACAGCTATCAATTGTGACCAGTGGGTTGGAGAATTTAATAACCCACTTGTGTCTAGGATGTTTGTATTCGAGTGAACCAATGAACCCCTCTAAATACAAATCTCAACCAAACAAACCTGACATACCCAATTAAGGTCTTTAGACTCTCTAGAAACTTCTGATCAAGTGTCATAGTTGAACTCTGCAGGAGAATGACCTTCCTGGGGCGAGATTGAACAGTCCTTTTCTAAACTTTAACCTACCACTCCCTTACAGCTCAACTAGTCAACCGACAACCACACATTATACACGTTCACACACCTAGAAGCACTCAGGACTTTAGAAACACTCAAATTTCTCCCTCGAAACTTAGACAGCATTTGCATGAGCCACACAAATGAACCGCAACAGCTCCTTTCACAATGAACCAAGCTTTTGTGAGTAATGCATGGCTGTCCTTGCCTTTTGGAAAACTAGATTAACAACACACATCGATGAAAGATTCCCAAAAGCTGTTTGGACACATATGAGGTCATCAATTCTGGACAATTGTAGATGACTTGATATTGCCTGCATCATCATCATCACCACCACGCAATCTAGTTCATGCCTTCCTCCTCCCTGTGTTGACTGGAGATCGACTCGAGAAATGGGAGAATGGAAAGGGGTGCTAGGAGATGTGAGATGGGGAGCAGTGCAATAGGACAGGGGTGGAAGACACGGGTGTAAGAGAGGAGCAAGCTCCACCAAGAGCGCTCAGTCTTTATATTCTGCCACAATGGACAGCAGCACTGTGATGTCATCAGGCTTTCCCCCTGAAAACAGATCAATGTAAAGGTCAGTATCTAAAGATTGTGGATTTTCAGAGAGGTTTAGGGAACTCAAGAGAAACGGAAATCAAGTCGACTCACCTCTTACATTCAGCCCATTGTCACAGGCAAACTGGGCGAAAGGGGACATGTAGTTGGGGTCATAGGCCAATTCATGAGCCTGTTCAGCGATACTGCGTGCAGTCTGCTGGATACTATCATAGTTGGTGTTCTGAGGTGATACAGAAAGACAGAAGATTAGTCAAATGAAAAATGTGGAAAGCATTAGAGAACCCAAGTATAGATGTATAAAGCTAGATAATATAGTATATACCATGGGAGCCCAAACTCCTGGAGGGCCAATGTCCTGCAGAGTACAGTGTCAACTGCAATTAGATACACTTGAACCAGCTAATCAAGCTGTTTCTAGATATAGTAGAAACTCCCATGCAAGAAGTTGAAGGAAGTTGGAACTAAACTAGGCTGGACACCAGCCCTCCAGCACAGAGTATGGGCACCCCTGGTATATACCATCCAGCCCAGGGGTGTCCAAACTCGGTCCTGGAAGCCCAGTGTCCTGCATAGCTTAGCTCCAACATCCTTCAACACATCTGCCTGGAAGTTTTAGTAAACCAATAAGGAGCTTGATTAGCTGTTTCAGGTATGTCTAATTGGGGTTGGAACTAAAATAGGCAGGACACCTGCCCTCCAGGAGTTTGGGCATCCCTGTTCTAGCCACTCTGAGTTTACTATAAAACAAAAAGCAAAGTTATGTGTAAAATTAACCAAACATGGCACTAGACCAATAAATAGACCAGGCTATTCTTTTTTTCAAGATCATCCTATTTGATGGCAATCATGAACAATAGTCTGCCTGAGTTCAACTTTGTTTTTCATAGCATAACACATATATAATGTACAACAATGTTTACCATCTAGTATATTGATCTAAATTAGGCCCATGTACTCTGATTATGTTGGGTTTTGGTCAGTTGTTTCAGAAGTAGACAAAAGAGACTTTCCTATATGAAATTAGGGTGCACAATTTTCATATTAATGCAAAAGGAAATCATGAGAAAAATAATACATACAGCCTTAATACTACCAAAGTATTAATACTAACAAAGTAAACGAAAAAAATTATAATTGTTTTGTTCTACCATTGGAAGTATTTAAAAAAAAAATGACAAGTTCCAAATGTTGGTCTCAGGGTGCTTTCACACCTGGGAATCGATTCGTTTGTTCTGAAACAGGGATTAAAATTATTACAATGTTGTTCTTCGTTCTTGGTGCAGTTCGCTTTCACACGGCAAAGTTTCTAAACGGACCAAAAGAGCTAAAACAAGTCACGTGCGAGTAAACTCTCCTCACATTGGTCAGAGTTTCAGGGTATATTTTGCAGAGTCTTGCTCAGCTGCCATGCGTCCTTATTTTAATTTATGATGAAGAGCAATAAAGACATCATAAGCGACAAGCTGTGCTTTCATTTTTAATGGTGACACCCACAGACATCGTCACAAAGTATAAATCAGAAGTAAGACTTTCTCTTACATAGCAGTTGGCTGATGCATTATAGGCCTTTCCATGAAACGCACATTTACCAATGGAATGACCTCCCACCCTACTCGTAACTCTCTCTTCATATAGCCGTATATATGCCTTTGACATATCCATGACAGACCGTGATATAGCCGGGCTCGGACCATATTGCTTTCTTCCGACAATCGATCTACTCTAGAGTTCATTTTAATCAAGCCGAGCCACCTCATTTAGGCGATCACGGACCGATTGATTTGGCACAGAACAGAGCACGATTACTAGATTTACAATTGCCAAACAAACCACGCTAACTGGGAAAACGAGACAGATTCCAAAACAAAAGTCTAGGTTTGAAGCACCCTCAAACTCAATTCCTGGAGGGCCGCAGCTCTGCACAATTTTGCTCCAAGCCTAATTAAACAGCTGATCAAAATAATCGAGTTTTAGACCTTGAAAACTTAGTTTCTTGAGTTTTTCAGGGTCAAACAAGAAAGCATAATGTTACTTTCATGAACTTTCAAAATATTCCTGAAGCATCAACATGATTTGTGTCAACTACTGCAACTATTAATATGGCACTTAACTGAAATCTCTATATTCTTAATACTTACATGTGCCTCATGATAAATTGATTGTTTTTTTTTTCTTATTAGTCCAATATTCAAATCAGATCAATTTCACCCAAGAATTAAAGTTAACTATTGTCTGTACCTTCAGTTTCTTGAGTTCTTGCAGGATCATGTAGTCAGGCATGTTGTCAAAGAGGCCATCAGTAGCAGTCAAAATAATGTCCCCCAATTGGACGTCAAAGGAGGAGCTATCTGCAGCCTCAGGACTGAAAAAGACAGACAGGCATAAAGTTAGACTTCTGTACAATTGAACAGAATTGAAGGCTTATATTGACTTAACCAGCCACATACCCAAGACTGACACCAAATCTTGAATATTGTAATACATGGAAAGCAACCTACTGAACTGCACTGATAAGTAACTCAAGGCACTAAAGACTTTGCCTAATGTCTATGGGCACCATACCAACCATTTTGTAGAAATGTTAATGGGAAAACAATGATCTAATCCACTAAATTAGAATGAGATACTTGATCAGGGTTGAAATTCAAGCAGTAGCGAAAGAAGGCAACAGGTCAGAGATCATTCTGACCTAAACGGTGGGGGGGGGGGGGGGGGGAGAAATGGACACTCTGGGGTTAGAACTCATGCAGACCCAACATGACCTCTGGACCGAATTCAAGCTGTCAGGTTGTTTTCCTGGAAACCAGACTAGCCTCTTCAAGCTCCAAATCCTTTGAGGCCGAATTTCAGTTTAATCTGTCTTAGTGCACTGGGTAAGTCTTAGAGCTCTGATTGCGGGTCAGATTTAAGGTAAAAACGAGGACACACAAAATGCTGAAACTTTGGGCAGAGAGGTCATTTCCTAAATGAACAAAGATATAGGTCAATTCTACAGATAAAAATAAAGTGTTAAATAAATACACTGTTGACAATAAATAATGGATTCGATACTCTCCGTTTAAGACACTTTGGTATGCAAGAATATTTTGAAGAAACTGTGCTTAGTTTAAAATCTGCTGTTGCTATGCAGAAAAAAATAATGAGTCTGAATGTTTAGAAATGTATCAGATTTCTTTATGTGTCAGAGTTTGAGGTATCGAAAATCCAAACACCATGAGATGACTTTCATACATCCACTTAGGAAATTGTGCAAATCCCAAAGCTGCTTTTTAATAAAAGTTGTCTTCTAGAAAAGGTAACCATCTTAGATTCTCTGTACTGGAACAAGCTTCCACCTGCTCTTCTAAGAATACTGTAACCTTCAAGAAGACACCACTTCTGTTAGCTGAAACCTCTACCATAAAGACATCATGGTAACTTTGTGGTACAGTGACCCATTTTCACAGACACAGGCATTTCCACTGCAGGGTTCAGGGATGGAAAACTGGTGTAAAAACAGTTCTAAAAAAACTAGTTTTAGTCTCTAATGAAGTGGTAAATTAAACTAAATTGAATGAAAGACAACTGAACAGAAGAGAATTGAATAGAAGATAATAAAAAATAAAAGAATAGAATTGTACAGAATTTAGTGCTTCCCACACATAAACTTTACTTAGGCGGGCAGCCTAAACGTGCTGCCCAAACGACTTAATTCACGGCTGAACTAACATAGTATGATGCATCATTTGGGAAAAGAACCATGAAGTAATGAGTGTTTCCCAAAACCCGTAGTTTCTCTGTTTTGGTAAAACATTCCCTCGTTTTCCATTTTAATTGAGATATATGTAGGTAGCACATATAGGGCCTGTGTTTCCTTTACAAATATTATTGACTACATTACATATTCTATTTTAAAACATAAAATCATTTACAAAAGCTAACACATATTCTAATCTCATATATAAATCATGTAAATAAATAAATAAATGAGGCTATTTTTTTATTTGAAAAAATTATTTAATTTATTAGGAAATTTTGAAAATCCTACTTAAAATATAATATTAATAATATTAGTGATAATGATTATTATTAAGTAAGATATTGTTTATTTTATTTTTTGAAAAGTACTTTTACAATTAGAAACATGCATTTCAAATACAGTACAGATACTTAATTTAAAAACTACTATAAATTAAAACTATTAACTATGCTATACATTTTGTTTTCACAAGCTTTAAGACGTAACGTAAATTCCGCTTTTAAATAATAGATCACCTATAGCTTTCGTCATGAGCCACGGCTGTGTTCAAAATGACATCAGTGTTTTTAAAGTTTGCACAGTGAAGGAAGCGCCATTGTAAACACGGAGATCCCTAAAACTAAACTGTAAAAATACTTTGAAAGCAAATTACACTTAACAGAGATGACTTTAATACCTTTTTTATCATTCCAAGTTTAAATGTTAGAATGTTCTAAATGAATAGGGCATAAGGGGTATAACTGGGAATAGAACACAGCCAGGAACTTTATTTCTAACTACAGGTCCAGAGGTGTAGTTGTAAGTGTAAAAGATTTCAATGCAGTTCGCGAATGTTTGTTAGAACGATGGCTTAGGGAAATGCCAAATCAACAAACTATGTTTGTAATGACAAAATTTGCGACATTAGTAAGCTAATGATAATTTTCGGAAATGCACCCCAGGTAATATAAATGGTATATTTGGTGACATTTTTTGTAAATAATTATCATCCTTCTACACTTTTTTTGTATCTGCCCAATAGCCAACCATCCGGGATCATGTTTCATGGTGGGACCCTACACGTTTCCCAAGATCGTTGTGTGTGCACAAGAACTGACAGTCTTACGTGCTCTGCAGAGACCCACAGAGATGCACGGTTTTGGGACTTAAAATTGCATCCGTCCAAAAGTTCAAAAAATCTTCTAAAATGTCCGGGATTCGGCTTTTGATTTCAGCCACCGTCATTTTTATTTTAAGCCTGATTTACTTTCACTTGGTTTTGTAGCGTGCACAGCTGCAAGAGCGCGAGAGAAACATGAGTTAATTATTAAATAAATTATTTTATTTTATTAATTCTCTGATCTAAATGTCTCAGAAAAACTTTTCTATTTACTCAGAGAGGACAAAATTACATCTAAACTACCTGCTAAATATATGTAGATCGTTAAAAAAGGTTATTTCACTCATTTGCCTTTTTTTCTTCTTGTAATTATTATATTTTAAAGATTTTTAATCCATAGATGTATTTATTACTTTGTCATTTATTCCTTATTTGCTGTATATATTTTTTAATTTGATGATATTTATACATTACATATTTTATACATATCTAACATGCTTTGGCAACACTGTACAAAATACCGTTATACAGTTAAATATCCGGAATAACTTCACGGGTAAATTTAAAAAAGCGCTGTTCACATAGGCAACGACGTTACAGAATCTTTCCGGAAAAGACTACTCACACATCCATTCTAAAATAGCGGTAAATTCTGACATCATTACCCAGAAATGAGCTCTAAACGGCTGCCCTTTAAATTTATAAGCATTTGACTACATTACAAACTCTGTGCATGGATTAGTATTGTGAACAACTTCGATGAAAATATAGAGGAACACATGTCTCATTGTACATGATATGAGTGTGTTCTGGCGCACACACGCAACGTGTCAAACAACTGAAAGGAAGTAGGGCTTGAAGGTAAAGAAACAATGGCTTATCCTAAGCATCTTAGCGATAATTATTTACACAGTTGGCATTAAGAAGGAACATATAATCATTATCTGACTAACATCCAGCAGCTAAATGTGACTGAAAAAAATATTCAAAAGGTTTTATTTTCATAAACCACGCAGACGTGAATGCATCTGACTGTTTTGATTGGCTAAAGCAGACGTCTCACGTCAGCATGTTCTAGACGTGCACGGCACGCGCTCTTTCTTACAATCTTCCTTCTGTATTCACACAGCGCTGCATTTTGGCAAATTACCAGTAATGTTACAAGTTACAACTTCTCTTTCCGAAAAATAGCCAGAACGAATTTACTGCCATTTTCCAAAAGGGCCTGTTCACACATACATACCTTTCCAAAAAAAATTGTTGGTAATTTTCCGGAAAAGTCTGTATGTGTGAAAGGGGCTAATGTCAGCAGCATATTTTACCTGTCAGTGGGTGCACATGGCTCGTCAATACAAAGTAAAACAAATAGTGGATTTCTTTTTTATTTTAACAGTCTTAAAACAAACTTCAACCCATTAAAAAAAGACACCGTTTAATAAATAAAAATATTGTCAATAAAAATTGGTTCAAAAAAATAATAATAAAAAAAAGAAAAAATATTTCTAGTTAACCATGTGCTGTGGGTAAAAGGTGTATTTCAATCCGGTTACCACTGCAAGTATATTTCACGCCTGTGGGAAGCACTGGAATTGAATTGAAGAGGCTTCTTTTAAAAACATGGGTTTTTTTTCTTCGTGAAACTAAATAATGTGCGTGTTATTACAAAGTAATGAGCAGCATGTTAATGGCAAATCATGATCTTTTTTAAAAGTTACTGGTTAGTCATTCTGCAATGTAAGCAACATTAACACAGCACTCAAAGCACCTGAGAGGCTGCACAGTAAATGCATATTTCATAGCGAGACGCACACTTTGAACCCAACACTCAGGTCAGATTCCCTGCCGTACACAAGAGAGTCAGATGAGTGTTTTCTGCCACAACAGGCTCTGGACCACATTAACTTTAGGTCCCGCATAAATTTAGCTGGACATGAGTGGCTTAAAATAAATCACGCTCTACTGGGACTCTGGAAAATATATAAACAAGTGTTTAGCAAACACTGATTGGCCGATGGAAAAGGTTTGCTTTGCCACCCTCTCTTTGATTGGTGGTTTTGGTATTTGTGAGTGAATGTTTGGATGTGTGCCGCTGGCAAGACTGGAGAGGCGAGCAACTACAATCACATGGCCTTGGCATTAAAGATTTGGGCCAATTCTCTCTCTCTCTCTCACGCACACATACACTTTTTCTGTTCTCACTTTTACAGGATTCAGGAAAAGCTTAGCTAATACTGCTCAATCTAATCAAGTGAAAAACTCTTAACTAAAAGTGTCCATGGCTAAATGTAAGAAAAAAAAAAAAAACATTTTAAATGCGATAGCAAAGTTTGTGAAAACATTCTGAATTTCATGAAAACATTCATAAACCTTACAAAATGTACATATTTAATGACATTTTAAAATATATTTTGGAATCAGAGGAAAGAATTTAAAAATGTAAAATCGTTCATTAAATAATTTAACGAATAAAACAACCACAATGAAACCATTTGATCAACAAAGACATATATATAAATAAATATATAAATAATAAATAAATATATAAAATATATTTTAAAACGACAAGTTATACAAAAGATTAAATAAGATTCAAATAATCAAAATTTAATTAGTATAAATTATGATAATCCTCATCTCAATTCTATCCAATTTATATCGATGCCCAATTTATATTGTTGAATGTATATTATAAATGACTCTACAGTATTTGGGGGAAAAACATTTAGAATATTTTAGTTTCTATAAAGTTACATGCAAAAAATTTTAAAATGAATTCTGCTTATGGATTCATTTACTTGTTCAATTATTTAGATATTTTTATATTCGTGGGTTTTGTTTTAGCCATCTAAAAATGAAAAAAAAAAAAAAAATAATAATAATAATAAAAAATCAAGTCTAAACATTCCAGCTGCATTCTTATGCATTTTTGAATAAATGAAATGATCCAGAAAATCTTAATGTGAATTAGGCATAGGCTGGTACAAGATTCTGACGGTATAATAACATTGGATTAAAATATCACGGTATGATGGTTTTGTGATTACTGCTCTAAACTATGTTCTGTTTAAAGGTCTGGGTAAAGACAACAACGTTTTCCCCATTGCACACAAAAATATTTTGGAACAGTAAACATGTTAGGCTACATACTTAAAATAAACCATTGACTCCTGCTATCTTCATTAGTTTTAATAACACAGATTTCTTTACAACTTGAAAAGGCATCTTTGGATATCTTTCTTTTATTTGGATATACACTAAAGGCCATCTTACACTGTGTAATTTTTTATAATCCTGAACAATTTTAGCATGTCATGTTATTAATGATTCCTACTTGTGTCTTTTTCGTGATGAAGAGTAGGCTAAATCTGATTTGTAGTGAGGTAAAGAAAAATGAGTTCATCAGACGCTGAATTTAAACCGAGTTCATCATCAAACATGTCAAAACATGTTGCCATGCGCATTACGAGCTACGCCACTCATGCTGATGTTTACCGCTCTCTTTACTTATGTTGTGTCTGTCAATTAAACGGTGATGGGTGGGAATCACTCAACTAGCTCATTCCAACGAGGTGTGCTATTTGCACTTAGCCTAAATAGACACTACAAAATTGTACACCTTTACATCGGACCATTTCTTTTTTAATTCACTCACAGTGCGATGTTCAGACCCAACTGCGTCCCCTAAACTCTCCCACTCTATTTTTTTTCCGTTTGTTATTAATTCCGGAGGAGAAACTTGCAAATAACACTGTTTTTCTCCAGTCCACCTTCTAAAGGAGCACCTCTGATTCACATTCTGTTCAAAGTTTCTTCTTGCTTGCTTGCTTTTGCCATTACTTTTTTTTTTGGTTTTGCCAAAGTAGACTCATTACCATTTTATTAGGGAGTTTCACGTTAAGTCGGATGTACAAAGAGAATATGTGTGGTATTCAGCATACGCAGTGTTTCATACGTCTGAATTTTTTACTGCGTACGCACATTTACAATGTGCATATGCAACGTTTTAGTTTGAATTGAATGCAAGTCTTCGTACATGAGGCCCCAGGTCTATAGCAGGCTTGTATGTTGGTATACAAACAATTTGTTTTTCAGATGTTTGCTGAATTGTGGGCAGAAAAGTAGATTTTGAAGTGGAATGTATTTTACTGTTGGAGATACTGTTAATACCCTAAAAAACTATAAAATAGTCAAGAAAAACACATAAAAATAACAACAACAACAACAACAAAAAAGTCCACATATCGTAAAAACCTTATAATAGAAAATGTTAGTGGTTTTAAAACCTTGACTTTTCCAAACCGCGATAAACCTTGAAACTGGTTATTCTCCCATGCCTAATGTGAATCACCTCTTTAAAAATACAAAACTAAATGAATCCGGTGTATTGCCATGCACTATTAGGAACAAGTAATCTATTAACCGATAAACCGGACAGCACCATCAGCAAAAACAGTCGATTATTCACAAAAGTTTAATGTTTGTCGTGTCAAAGATCAGTCCTTTCTGCATGAGCCAAAAACCAACTCAAGCAAACCTAAAAACTTTAAACCTTAACTTTCAAATTATAAAAATCAAGTTGTAAAGCTTTGAAAAAGCATCTTCCTCCCTCAAAATCTGCAGTTTCCAGCCCTCATTTCTGAGACAATACTTCAAAACAATAAAACGGGGTGATGGAAAGAGCTTCAGTGTCAGCTCGTACACTATTAATTGCAGTAAAAGCCATTCGGGCCCACATGAGCGACACCGATCTGCAGTCAGTCAGTGTGTGTATCCCCTGTCAGAGAGTGTCTGTAACCCACCTGTCGCTCAACACGACACCCTCGGCTCCCGGCGGGGCGATGGACAGCTGGAAGGGTGTGTTGAAGTAGTGCTGCTGCTCGTCTGACCGATGAACCACTTCTCCTCCTCGAACCACCAGGAAGCCCGAGTCTCCCAGATTACAGGTGTGTATCCTGTGACTGCGACGGTCCAGAACAACAATGCAAGCTGTGCTGCTTCCTAGAGGAGAATAAAAAGCATAAACAGTCACACTTCATAATAAGGTTTCATTAGGTAATAGAGCTGTGAACCTATACTGGTCTCACGGTTCGGTTACGATTATCATGCCATCGATTCGGTTCAATTCGATATCTCGGTGCATCACGGTGCATTGACTATGCTTTCCATACACAGTTTTATATTTTCTTCACAGCAGCAGTTCTTGTATTAAAATGTATGAATATATTTATATTTATATACTATTTGGAAAACAATTTTGTCATTTAATACAAACAGTCAGATATATAAACTGTAACTTTAAACAACACGAGCATTTAGCAAATAATATAAACAAATATAAATATCCAGCTCAATTTCTGTTTCTTGTCTAGTTCTCTTACACCCCTTTGATTGGTCACACCCTCAAAAAAACGGTTGCGATTGGCTCTTGCGCGCTGTGCTCTTCACAGATGAGTGACACTGATAAGCGGCAGCGGCGATCACACAGCTGATGATTGATCGATACGGTGAAGAAAACTCTGCAGACACGCGCTCGTTTCTTTATGCAAAAGTAACGCTGTAAAACAGCCGAGAACAGAAGAAAAGCCACGGCAGCAGGTCAAATGGGCCAGTGTGTGTGTGAGAGAAAGAGAGGGAGAGACAGAGCGAGAGAGAGAGAGAGAGAGAGAGAGAGAGAGAAATGGAGTAGGCTACTTTCATTCTCCAGATCTCAGTGAAATAGGGGCTATTGTTGTATATGTCAGTGAAAGACTGATCCAGCAAACACACACAGTGAACTTGTGCACAGTTTATGAGTTTTAAGTAGTTAAAGCGCTGTGATTACTCGCAATCGCCTCTCTCGCGACAGAGCACATATGAGGTAAATGACGTCAGTAATAACCGGTTATGATTATTACTGAACCGATACCGAATTGTCCGCGTCTGCATCGCAGTGCACCGAAAAAACGGTTAATTTTGACACCCCTATTAGGTAATATTAATGTATTTACTAACATAACTAATAATGAACAATACTTGTTAAGCATTTATTAATCGTAGTTCAACATTTACTGATGCATAAAAAAAATAATAATAATCGTAATAATAATAGTAATCTATTCTCAAAGTTGGGTTGGGAACTGGGTCTATTGTACGCAAGCTATGATGACTTTCTTCTTGATATTTTAGCGCGAATGTATACCTGGCTGAATTGTACTGTAGGGGGCGAGAATGAGTCTTCGAACCAGTGTGCATTCCTACTGTGAAATTACCACATCAAATGTGACATGCTAACATGGATACAGTTCACTACAGTGCAGGGGCGTAGCAACCAGGGGGTCACATTCCCCTCATTTTTAGAGACAGACCATTTAGAAACCAGTGATTAATAGTAAAAATGTCAGTGACACCCCTGCTAGAGTGAATGTGATCAAGGTTAGCTCCACATCTAACTATCAGGCACTTGTAGAGTTTATGCGTTCGAGACCGGTGAGCCATCTGACAAAAAGCAAGTGGTACTACTCACTGCAGAGCCACTTGGGCAGAGCTGAGCTCCAGCAAGGGGGAGCTTGAGCTCCAGCTCCTCCTTCCTTGCACTTCTTCTACAAGGGATGTCACATTAAAACAGCTTATAGGAGAAGGAGGAGGAGTTGGAGCTCAATCTCCCCCTCATTGAAGCCCAAGTGGCTCTCATTCTCATTATATTGCTGCCTTGAATGTCCTTGAATGTAAGTTATCTGCTAAAAAAAGTCTGTTATTTTATGAAAAATAAATGTATGGTTTGCATCAAACAAAAACGAAGCATTGCAGTAAGAAATATTTATGATCGCTCTCCGCCATAATCTGCGCCATTATTATTATTATAACTTTAGGCAGAATTTGCAAACTAAAAACAATTTTGGTGCTCCTAAATATTTGAAGTTGGGAGCACTGGTGCTACCAAGTAGAATAGTTTATTTCAAGCCCTGAGTGTAATTTATTATTTTTGAAGTAAAACTTATTTTTGTTTTTTATATAAATCGCTAGGTTTAAGTTGATTTATAAATTAACAATTTTCCATTATCAAAGTCAAGCTATCCATCTTTAATTGTATTATTTTAATAAATACTAATAAATAGATTTAATCAATTAAAATATTAGAATAATCACCATCTTTTAAAATGTATAATCAGTAAAAACATTTACATTTTAATCTTTTAAAAATACAAGTAATTGACAGAAAGTGACAGACAATTATGTTACAAAAAAATATTTAAATTTCTTTTATTTTATTAATAAATTTAATTTGCATTAAAAAAAAATCTACATTTTATACTGATTTCTAAAGGATTTCATGGCACTGAAAACTGAAAAAATTTAATATTCAAATATTCAGCTGACAATTTATGAAAAAAATTATCCCAAATGTCTGAACAATAGAGCATTTTATTAGTTACAAAAAATTATTTTGTAGTTATTTTTCTGGCATGTCCACTAAATAGCATTTATAGTTAAAGTCAGAATTATTAGCCCCCTTTTGAGTTTGTTTTTCCCCCAAATGATTTTTAACAGAGCAAGAACATTTTTACATTATATCTAATAATATATTTTTTTCTTCTGGAGAAAGTCTAATTTGTTTTATTTTGACTAGAATAAAAGCAGTTTTTAATATTTTACAAACCATTTTAAAGTCAAAATTATTAGCCCCTTTAAGCTATATTATTTTTTGATAGTCTACAGAACAAACCATCATAATACAATGACTTGCCTAATTACCCTAACCTGCCTAGTTCACCTAATGAACCTAGTTAAGCCTTTAAATGTCACTTTAAGCTATATAGAAGTGACTTGAAAAATATTTAGTAAAATATTATTTTACTGTTATAATGGCAAAGATAAAATAAATCAGTTATTAGAGAGGAGATTTTAAAGCTATTATGTTAAAGCTACTATACATTATGCTATTAATAAACCATTAACAGGAGGGCTAATAATTCAGGGGGTTAAATAACTCTGACTTCAGCTATAGGTTAGTTTGAAATGTATCTCCAGCTAGTCTATTTGTAATAAGCTTCTCTGTTTATCACCTAACACACTCCTTGCTCCCTTCCTTCTCTCGATGTCTAGCTAAGGCCTTGAGTCTAAGTGACCTTGTCTCAGAGCGGTCACCCACAGACCTTTAGCACTCCACATGCCTTCCCAAAATAAAAGCAGGTCACTTTGAAGAGGCAAACAACTCAGCAAGACGAAGAGCGTAGCGTGACATTTCTGACAGCACGGGACGTCTGCTTTTAGCAAAAAGACCACCACTTGCATGCGTGCCTGATCATCCAATACCTCGTTTAACAATCTAACTTAGTCCTTGGTTTAAGCATTACATCAGAAACCACATCCTTATTAACTTGAGGTTGCTTTAAAAGGCACCTATGGTAAAAAAAAAATCAACTTTTCAAGCTGTTTGGACAGACATGTGTGTAAAGGCTGATTTAGACTTCTGCGTCAAACGCCGGCGTATGCTACGGCGCTGACGCATAGCCCTTCCCTGTGGCCATCGGTGTCACTGACGTGCACCTCTCAAAAAATGAAACTACACGTCGCAACAACGCGTAGGGCAAGCTCTGTGATTGGTCGGCTTGGTAGCGCTGACGAGTCTGGGCAGGACCGAGAGCCGCGCAAATGGCGGGAGCGATTGTTTACAAGTGTGGAGTCCCGTGAAGGAGCTCCGGATGGAAAGTTTTGTTTTGTGTTTACCTCATAGTTAAAGTTGTTGCACAACCGCCAGTTTCTGCCTCAAAATGAGCGAGTTTGAGTCACTTGTACAACCAGGAAGTGTTCAGGAAAAGCAAAACAGAAGCGAAGAAACTCGACACAGAGGAACATTTACACCTCACTGCCAGCTAGCGTTTCAGAAGTGTTAATGCAGACCAACAGAGACAGCGCGCAGAAGTATAAATGCACAGCAACGCGCGTTGCCTGCGACGTGAGTTACGCCGGTCACTTGACGCAGAAGTATAAACCAGGCTTTAGTATAGTGTATAGATCGTCATATTGGGGTGATATAAACACACATTTTTCAATTGGACCAATTGGATCGGTTTTCAGAGTGACCGCAACTTGACGTAGGAGTGCGGTCCCCCTGCCCACCAATATTGATTGACAGGCCCATTGATTGACGTCACCATATCCTCAGTTTGTTGATTCACGTCCACCATTTTCAGCGCAAGTCAAAGCGAAATCACTAAAGGAACATCCTTGCTCTATCTTTAGATGCCAGGGTCAATGAGCTCAACAAAAGATCAACATTCACCACATGATTGCTGTAATCGTAATCATTGGTTGTATCTTTAGGTAGGTTTGCAAACATGTGTACTTTTCATTGAGTCTACCTTAAACTTCAGCTATTTGCATTTCTCAAGGTCACAGAAGCTCCCTGTGATCTTAACTATGTGCAGCTGGAAAAGTGCATGCGCGTCATGTGTGCGTCTCTCCATTGGAAAAAAATAATAAACTTGCCTGCAGGTCGCACACCAGAAGTGCCGCTCTGCATTTTAGAATTTTTCTATTCTTGTTTACCCTGATAGAAACCTACGTTTAAAATTCTAAAATGCGTGGCGTGACGATTCGGGACACTTCATGTTTCTGCCATGCCACAGAGAGTGTCTGGTGTGCCGTGTCACAGCGCATTCGGTGCCTCAGTCAAGCTAGGCACTTTAAACTAGCACACAGTTGTCTGTAAAACTATACAAAGACACAAATAAATGTGCACTCTCTGCTTGGTCTGTGCCCGAGTCGTACATGTACAGCTGAATGCTGATCCTCACTCTTGCTCCTTCTCACAGTCTGTTTAAAACACAGAGCGGGTGAGCTCTTGGCTCCGCCCCCTTGTCACGTTGGGCGGGAAGCCGAAACTAATTTCCATGTGAAGCAACACGCCCCTAAAACAGCAAACTGTGTAAACGCCCCCAACATGACACTTTTGAACACATTATAACAAAAACATCTGAACTGTGTGTTGAACTGAACCTAAACTGGCACACTCAGAAAAACCATAATACTAATATAAAAAAGGGGTAAACAATGTGCCCTTTAAACAAGGATGCACGGTGGCGCAGTGCATAGCACGATCGCCTCACAGCAAGAAGGTCGCTGGTTCGAGCCTCGGCTGGGTCATTTGGCGTTTCTGTGTGGAGTTTTTACGTTCGCCCCGTGTTGGTGTTGGTTTCTTCTGGGTGCTCCGGTTTCCCCCACAAGTCCAAAGACACGCGGTACAGGTTAATTGGTTATGCTAAATTGTCTGTACTGTATGTGTGTAAATGAGTGTCTATGGATGTTTCCCAGTGATGGGTTGCAGCTGGAAGGGCACCCACTGCGTAAAACATATGCTGGATAAGTTGGCGATTAATTCTGCTGTGGCGACCCCAGATTAAAAAAGGGACTAAGCCGAAAAATAAACTTGTATTAAAGTAAAGTTAATGTTAAATGTAAAATTTGCAGCTCTGACAGATTTAATTGACTGAAAAATGGTTGCGCGTTCAGTATATGGATCACAAATGCCCACAACTTGCACTTTGTGATCATATCTCAGTTCTGTTCTGTTGATATGTGATCCAAATATTCGCAGCTAACAGAGGGAAAATATGACCGGTATGCTGCGTTCCTATGGAGACCCTAGAGTAGCTGCCATTACAGACCATTATTTTGTTGCCCGCCAGGTCTTTGCACAGGTCATGTGACTGAAAACTATCAATAGAGTCTCAAATGGACACGTTACAAATTCAATGCAATATTCTGCACTTCTAAAATGAAAATGCAAAACATTTAACAATTGTAGAAATCTTCTATTTCTACTTAATGTCAGCAAATTCATCACGTCTACCTCCTTTTGTAATTATAATGTAATAAAATACATTATCATAATAAGCACCCACTATTTGTTTGTTTGTTTGTTTTTAATGCAGATTTTTTAATGCTATTTTCTAACTACACATCATAACAAACATACAATACAGCTAAACAAAACAAAACAATTTGACATACAAATAAATAAGCATTCAAATTGAAACCAAAATAATTTTAAAAAGATAATAAATTAGTTCTGACTAAAAGACTTAATGTTTCCCAGAGATGGGTTGCAGCTGGAAGGGCATCCGCTGCGTAAAACATGTGCTGGATAAGTTGGCAGTTCATTCCGCTGTGGCGAACCCGGATTGGTAGGAGGACAAAGCCGAAAAGAAAGTCAATGAATGAATAAAAGACTAAATCATTTAATTGGTCTAAAAGAAAAAGGGAGATTATTCTAGTCAATAGGAGCTTTGTATTGTAAAGATCTAAAGCCACTTTTTGTTGTAATGATTGGAATCAATGAATTCTGTTGTATATGTCAAAGATAATAGGAGGAGGTAAATGGAAAAAATAAAAAAATAAAAAAACTGCTTTAAATAAAAAGGGCAACTAAAAAAAACACATTAAAAAAATACCAATGATAATGTCTACGATACTTAGCTTAAAGCAAATCAAGAGCACATCTTAAAACAAACCTATATAAAGATTTAAAGACAATGTTTAAAGTTATTGAATATCAGATGTATTGTTATAAATAATAACAGAATAATTATTGAGAAATCTATTTTGATCTTTTTGATGTTTCTGAAAAACAGTTAATAAAATGATAAAGAGAACCTAAACACAGATATGACTTTTTAACTATAAAATTCCATAAGAATTTTAAAGGATTTTTCAGTATCTAGCCAGAGACTAAGGGTGCTTTCACACCTACACTTTTGTTTCTGAACGTATCTCGTTTGCCCAGTTAGCGCGGTTCGTTTGGCATATGTGAACAGGGCAATCGCACTCTGTTCAGCGCCAAAGTAATCGCTCCGAGATCCCTTGAATGAGGTGGTCTCGGCTTGATTGAAACTAACCCTGGAGCGGTTCGATTGCAGTGAGAAAGCGATCCAATCCGAGCGCGGTTATATCACAGTGTTTTATGGATATGTAATTGGCATACAGCTATATGAAGAGAGAATTATGAGTAGGGCAGGAAGTTTCGCGAGTCTCCGGATGTGATGATCTCCCGGTAATATTGCGTCTCCCTCCCGGTCCTTAAATAGGCTATGTCGCGCACCCTCACCCCTCCCCACCGCGTCTCTCCTCAGACACGTCACGCGCACGCACCCTGTCAATCACCACCAAACCACCACCTCTCCTGACAGCTGAGCGGGACGCTGCAAAATAAACAAAACACTCTGACCAATGTAAGGAGAGTTTACTCGCACGTGACTTGTTTTAGCTCTTTTGGTCCGATTAGAAACTTTGCAGTGTGAAAGCGAACCGCACCAAGAGCAAAGAGCAACAATGTAACATTTGTAATCTCTGTTTCGGAACAACTGTATCGATACACAGGTGTGAAAGCACCCTTAGATATTTAAATTAGTCAACATTAGACAACTGTGACTCATCATCAAATATAATATCTATATCTACCGAGTGTAACCGCTGAAATTTTTTTAAAGAACGGCATACTGCAAGACTTCTTTTTATTAAGTACAAGTTTGTTTTTTAAACCATTCTTGAATTAAAGTAAAATCTAACTGCGAAGAAGAAATCTGACACTTATAAAGTTAACTTAAACTATTTAAAATAAATCTGTAAAGAAATAAAGCTGAAAATTGTATGTATAATTATATGATAAACTTATGAACTTAACAACTAATAAAAATTTAAAATGTTGCCTCGAAAAATAAAGATTAAGATGAAGTGCAGAAATGACGTAAAAATAAATAAATAAGTAAAATACTACAAATTATCTATTGATACCAATTAAAATACTAAAGCCAAGTAACCAAAATAGTAAAACTAAGTCAACGATATACTAAATATTAAATGTTTTACTTTAGCTTTTTTTAGTTAATTACATTGTCGCGTAAATTGGAACTAAACCTATATTAAACTAAATTTAAAAAGGCATTAGAAAATATTGCTAGTCTTTAATATAAAAATCACACAATACTTAACGCACAATGAGATACCCGACAGCACAATCTGCCATTTTGAAGAAAAATCCACCATTTTCTTTCCTGACATTAAACTGAAAAAAGCTTGGCTAAGAATCAAATTGGTACATCACGACTCAAGAACTGTGAGTCATCCTGCAGATCCTTAACTTATTTATTCTTTAAAAGCAGCAGTGTGTGTGTGTGACTCAGTGTGTGGTTTGGCGCGTGTGTGTGTCTGGATATAATCTTACCCAGCAATGGTACTTTGTTCTGCAGGAGCTCATAGTAGCCAGAGGTCAGGATGCCCACGGGGCTGCTGGGAGTGAATCGTCCCTCCTTCACCAGCCGTTCACACGTCTTCATCAGTGTGGCAGAGAACTGAGACGGGTCCACGCCGTAATCCCTCCAGCCCCCAACACCATCCGCAACACCTGAGACATGAAGAAAAGCAGAAAGACATCATCAAAAACAAGGCCCTGTTTCCACTTGATATTAACATTCCCTTTAATTAGAAGCAGTCGACATTACTTTATCAACCTGGAATTGATGTAATTTTAAAAATCTCATAGACGCTTGTGTTCAGATTTCGTTCAGGCCATTCTGTCTCATTTAATCTCACTTAACATTTCACAGGAGAGCTCAGCACAACACGAGCAAATGTCAATAAACAAATTAAACAAGCAAATATGATGCGGCGAATATAATACATGCGTTTTCATACAAAGCAGCCAAGCATGAACACAAAGTTCTGGTGCCGTTTCTCACAAAAAGTCCCATTAAGATCAGTCAGTAGATGTTTGAGTGTTCTTTACACTATAAAAAACATGAGTCTTTTTAAATTCGTTTTACATTACCTGTGAAATTACCAAAAAGGGTTTAAGTTCAAAATGTTTTAAAGGGCCATGAAACCTCCTCGTTTCAGCAGGGTGTTTTCAAACCTCTACTTTGGAAAAAACCAGAAAAGTGGGCGTGTCCAGCTCTGTTTAGGGGGGAGTGTCGGAGGAACTAAAGTGGGAGGGTGTGGGAGTGTCTATTTGGGCACGCGCGAGTTTCAGAGTCAAAATACACAGACAGGAGAAAGTGATGGTGTTTAATCTACATGGACATCTGTAGTCGAATTATTTGCCAAATTATTAAATCTTGGACTTTAAAGAGCCCATATTATACATGAAATAGGGTCATATCTTGGTTGTAAGGGTCTCCAACAACAGTCTAATATGCATGCAAGGTCAAAAAACACTTTCATGGTCTTATAATCTGCATTTATTTTTAGCTAATTATTCCAGCGACTCCTGTATGAATCGTCCAGTGATTCATTTGTTCCCAAACCCCTCTTTAGCGCGGAGCTAATCTGCGCTGATTGGACCGATGACAGTCTGTCGCGATTGGTCGACTGCCTTCGGTCAGAGAGGGAAATGGCCAATAGCTAATCAGCAATTTAAAAAGTAATCACAGTTCATACACGCTCGATAGTGTAGACGTGGATTTTAGCTGCCACACTATGGCGAGTGGATAGTGCCATGGATAACCGAACGAAGGAGACAGTCGTGTACTCGCCATACCACACACACACAAAAACACACACACACCTCCGGATGACAACGCTCCCGCTTCCGCCCGCACCCGCCAGGTTTTAGCCTGAGAACCCGCTCCGTTTTCTGCCCGCCGCGCCCGGTCCCGCTAGAGCGGAGAACACAACCAAAAATCACCCAGTATACAGTCCAGACAGCCAAGCTGTCTTCGCTCTCTCTCTCTCTCTCTCGCTCGCTCTCTTTCATACGCGCGCACTAACACACACACAAGCACCACGCAGACTCTCTCTTTCTAATTCGCATAGCAATATCCGTGATATTGCTAGACAGCCCGCTCCCGTCCCAAATTAAACCCGTTACCGACCGCTCCCGCGATTTATTCGGAAATTTATTCCCGCGGCTGTCCCCGCGCCAGATTTCTGCGGCGCGGGAATAAATTTCCGAATAAATCGCGGGAGCAGAACTCTAGCACGGAGCTCCATAAACAAACAGCACGCGTCGCGTTTTAAACGTGACTTTGCACGCGATAAGAGAATATAGCCAGTTAACCTGATACAGTACACGCGGTTACAAGTAACAAATCACAACTAAATACATTTGCAAGCTAGAGTAAACGAGGCAACAACTTTAATCGCACGTACTTACACTTGAGAAATGGAGGAAGAAACCCATCCTGACGTCCAGCAGTTACTCTTTACTGATCCTTCCTTTAACAAACTCAGATGAAGTATTCTTTGTAGCATGTAGCTTCCCGAAGTTTCCAACTGCTTGGTTATAATGCTGATGTTTCATCTTTGGGTAGAGACTCAATATAATGTCCATCTGCAGTGTGACTTCAATCGACCGGCATGTTTGTGTGCGTGTGTTTGTGGGTGTGCGTGTGTTTGTGGGTGTGTGTGTGTGTGTCTGGGTTTCTGCGTCAGAGGGCGGGGCCTCAGGTTTGAAATCTCCCGGGTTTGCGCGTACACGTGAATAACTTGGTTTCGTTCGTACGTCATGGCGAAACACCTAATGAGTCGGTATCAAGGCGACTCGTTTGAAGCACTATGAGTCGACTCTTTTATAGATGAATCAACCGTTTTAAACACTGTATTCTTACAGATTTAAGCCTTAGCTGGATACTTCACTTCACTTAGAGCTGTGTTACACACTACATGGAGGGGAATTTTCAAAAACCCATAATATGGGCTCTTTAACTGCAGTTTGGCTCTTTCATTTAGAGAATTCATTCATGCCCCTTGCAACAAACGAGATATTTGATTCAAGGAACTGCTCTAAGCGTGTATTTTTCATGCAATGTTTGATACCGCACGGCGAATGAGAGAAAAAAAGCCGTCCGCATTTCCCGGAAACTTAGATACACACGGCAGGTAGCGTAAGAAAGCCGCGTGTGTTATTCCGGTCACTAAATGAGGTTAAAAACCCTACACGAGGTTAAAGTTTGGTTGTGGTGCTAACATATTTGTACTCTGTGCAATAGTTAACTTAGTTCAATACGAGCAAACTAAATAAACAAAGAGTACTGGTCGCTCACTTACCAAATCTGTAGAGACAGGACAATCACCAGCAACTAGAGCAGCGTCTTTATTAAGAGAAGACTACAAGGGAATCCAGATCTCAGCGTTTGGAGATGAGAACAGCTCTCAGGTAAACAATAAACCTCCTTAGACACGTAAGTTATTGTTGTCGAGCGTCGCGTACACTGTTAATCCACACGTGACGCCAGCTGCGCTCTCACAGAGAGAAAATGAAAACAAAACTTAACGGCAGCAAACTATAAAAACAACACTTCACGCTTGTTTTGCCAACACAACGTGGCGTCTCTGTCGTGAAAACACTGTGATACTAATGAATATTAATGAAGTTGCACAATAGAGAGCACTGATTGGTTTGAACCAAGCCTTACTCATGCATTAATGCATCACACTGTAAGACGTAATAAGACACACTCTGGCACAGACGTCCAGTCTGCACGCTGGAATACAACGCTATTATGTCATGACCGTGACGCAGCTTCAAAAATTTGTTTCAAACCGGAAGTACGAATTTGCTTGAAATAACGCAAAAACAACCAATTTACACTTTTTAGTGAAATATAGGTGTCCTAATAGTGTTTTTAGCAGTGTGGGACACACATACGACTGTCAACAGCTCAAAAAATGTGTTTTGGTGTTTCGTGACCCTTTAAGGCCAGGACATGCCTAGTTGCTTTTTAATAAGTGTCTGTAAGGCCTGTTTGTTTGGTGTGCTTCTCTCGACAGGCTGATGTTGGAATGAGTTTGCCTGACTCAGTATGTGGAATTGGTGTCAGCCTTTGGTGAAAGACAGAGTTCTGATTGGCTGTACAGCTACGAATGTAACAAACAAAAACTGAAGTGACTAAACTAAACTACACACGTCAAGAATGAACGAAGAAGCTAGCTGTCATTCCATTTGAATTCTTAAATGTTGCAAAGTATATGGATTATCAGACATATCTGCACAAGCGAATCCATCTATGGTGAGCGAGAAATGGGGGAGGGGCGCTATACTAGTAATATTTATTGGATTTAACACAGGCCTACCGTATGTCACAAGGCTTTACAGGTCTATGTCACATTTTCTAGTCATATAAGTTTAAAATACATTTAAATTATGCCTTTAATAATGATTTTAACTTAGTTTACTACTAAAATGAGATTGAGTTTGTTTTTTGGTCATATCAGGATATAATATTGATATCATCTGGAAAGTGGAACATATTGGCATATGTTAGTTTTAGCTCATATGGCTCACCCCTAGCAAGAAGTAACGTGAATGGTACATGTGATAGAGTCCTGCTTTAATTACAGTTTGTATGTGTGCAGCACTAGTTTCGCTTTCCCTTTGTGAAATGATTATACTGACCACTGCCACCTGCAGGTATGGAAAGATACATCCACTCATGAGGGTGCAGAAGGTATAATTCTTGATTCAGTAAGTCGGCTGTCTTCCATTTGGTGTGCTAATAAATAGTTTCTTAACAGACAAGACCTGATGTGCCTGACATGAGGCAACAACCTAGTTGGTTTTCATCACCATTAGTTCTTCGACATTGGCTTGGTATGTCCCAGCATTTAGAACCTATTTAAAACTTTATTCAGCACAACTTTGACTCGTTTCCAATGAGTGGTTTAGTAGGGAACAGTTTGGTCCGCTTTTAAAGGGCTATGAAACCCCCTCGTTTCGGCAGGGTGTTTTCAGACCTCTACTTTGGAAAAAGTCAGAAAAGTGGGCGTGTCCAGCTCTGTTTAGGGGGGAGTGTCTGAGGAACTAAAGTGGGATGGTGTGGGAGTGTCTATTTGGGCACGCGCGAGTTTCAGTCAAAATACTCACACACAGGAGAAAGTGATGGTGTTTAACCTACATGTACATCTGTAGTGGAATTACTTGCCAAATTATTAAATGGTGGACTTTAACTGCAGTTTGGCTCTTTCATTTAGGGAATTCATTCATGCCCCTCGCGACAAACGAGATATTTGATTCGAGGATCTGCTCTAAGCGTGTATTTTTCATGCAATGTTTGATAGCGCACGGCGAATGAGAGAAAAATAAACCTCTGCATTTTCCGGAAACTTAGATGCACACGGCAGGTAGTGTCAGAAAGCCGCGTGTGTTATTCCGGTCACAAAATGTGGTTAAAAACCCTACACGTGGTTAAAGTTTGGTTGTGGTCCTAACATGTTACGGTGCAATAGTTAACTTAGTTCGATACGAACAAACTGAATAAACAAAGAGCACTGGTCGCTCACTTACCAAATCTGTAGAGACAGGACAATCACCAGCAACTAGAGCCGCGTCTTTATGAAGAGAATACTACAAGCGATTCCAGATCTCAGCGTTTGCAGATGAGAACAGCTCTCAGGTAAACAATAATCCTC